ATAATATATTATCGCGACGCGAATATCGAAAGAAATTTTGAAGGGAAACTGCGTACGTCGAGAAATATTTAGTAAAGACATATTTGCGGTATACTGGAGCATCGCGCGGGGAAGACACCCATAAATTAACTTACGCGAAGTAATTGAGTAATACATCACAGCCGGGATTTCATTAACCAAAGTAAATCGCCCAAGGAAAATTTCGCGGTAAAAGTTTCAAATATCCAGCCAAAACAAACATTCGAGAGTTACTCATCACAATCACATAAACCGGTAAAGTCAATTAATTAACGATAGGACGGAGCATTATCGAATATTTATTTTAGCTCTTATAACAAGGAAAACTAAATTATATTGATGAGCTCGCTTGTATTTTAAGGACGAACTAAAAGACGGGTTTCGTGACGAAATTGCTATCTACAAAATCCTGCAGGCAACTTTCACGGTTATTGACCTATTCATTGTTAATTAAAATTAAATTGAATAGAAATAGAATTAAATTAGAATTAAATTTTAAGATGAATTTATATTTCACTTTGAAGACATAAAGGCTGACATGAATATGTACTGAATGGAATTGACATTGCAAATAAATTTTTACAGTGTTTTTTCAGTTTTCTGTTATTCAAATCATTTCTCGACTATCTGACAAACGAGACAATGAAGTATTCGAGTAATCGACCAAACAAACATCAGGATCCCCACTTAAACGCTATCTATGAATCAATAGCGCGAAACTTAAAATATCTTTAAATTTACTTTACTTCTAACACGAACTTACCACTCAACCTAACGCGTCGATAATTTCGAGTCACCGTTCTCCGGATGGGAATATAGTAAATTTTCTATGCTGCTAATGAAGTTTATAATCCTTCGGAGATTTCGCTAACTGGAACGAATTACCGCGAAACTTTTTGAATAGGAAACGTAGGCTTATTAATGGCCGAACCGGAAATCCACATCGGGTCGTTCATTAATAAGCGAAAAGCACGTTTGCCTGTTGTACACACGGAGACACGGGAATAATGTAAGCAGAGGAGCGCGAAACGTGCTAATGGCGTTGCCACCAGCGGAACGTTACGTAAATCGCGAAAAAAGCGAAAGAAGAATGGACAGAGCGCAATCTTTGTCCGCGATCCGGCATTAGAATGCCTACGTTCGACATTGGAGAACAAAAGATACGAGATGCGCCCGTATTCAGCGAGTGTATCGCGTACTGTTATGCAGAGGAGATTACCTTGCATTCGACGCAGCCTGCTGCATTCCAAAAATTTCAACGTGCTCTACCACCGAAGGCAATTTACACCGAGCGAACGTTTTCATCAACGGAGACTATTCCTTCGGAGATTATCTAATTAAGCAAATACCTCGTGTAGCCTAAGCATTCGAGGAATCGAGTGGATTTAAAATTTAAGTACGCGAAAGCGTTTTATAAAATATTAGTTTCGATATTATAAATTCGAAACCACACGAGTAAATGGCAGATACTAATGCAATGACTTCTTAAATATGTCTAATGAAAATGACCGACACAGAATTCATCGATACAAATTTTTATCGACAATATATTTTATTAATAGCTTTTTCTAATATCAAATTAGTAATGATACAAACTACAGAGACAACTACATAATGGTAAAATTTCTTTTACCAAACTTGGATACTATTAATTTCTTCATTAGATCCGAAGTAATATTGTCTCATTTATTTTTTAATATTTCGTCATAAATGTGTTTGAGATATTGAACATTGTTTCTAAACTTTTCTATCTAAACGATCCCATAGTTTCACTATGAAATTGAATACAGCACCCGAAGCATTTAATATTATTAAATGTTGCAAAATACACATCCAATATAGAATTTAGCAATAAAAGTTGTATAGTAATAATTTACGGTGTATATTTACTAAAAAAAAAAATACAAAACAAATATACATGTCGAATTGAGTAACCTCCTCCTTTTCGAAGTCGGTTAAAAAGTAGTAAGTGTCCACATATTTACGAGCGAGGTTGCACATGGTTCTATTCTGTTCTATCGATAAAAGTATTCCATCAATCAAATGTAATTAAACAGAGCAAGAAAGAAACAATAATAGTTAGGTTACAGTATGAAGGAAGAGATAAGTGTGATTTATTATATTCAGAAATTAATTGTTACAGAGACCAAAAAATGAGTCGTACTGATGTTTCTGTAAATGCATTCCATCGTACATTAAATCCAAAAGTGTTGTATGAGATGAAAAAAAAAAATGAAATATTCCATTATTCGTAACACGTTGTTTCTCAGTTTCTTCAAACGCGTAATATCCGTCACGCGGTAGCCACGAACTTTCCATTCGAATTCCCCAAAGGAATCTCCCAATAGCAATGTTCCGCTTAAATTAAACGCTCCGTGGCAACGAGAAAGAAACGTCGACTGTGGAAACGTTACGAGGGATGAAACTCGAGAGGCTGTCGAGCGTATTATCCGCTGAAGTTTAATCTCGCGCACGTCATAGCTGCATGCGAGACGCGAGAACGTTACGCTGGACGTCGCGCCTTATTGCCGCAAGGTAATTTACAATAGCTGGCCACCAAAGGAGCTGGACAACCATATGTACACGGTTATGTAGCTCTCTTGGACGGAAGTTCAGCTGGACGACAACGTTGAAGGATACCTTTGTTACACAGCGAGACCAGATCTCGACAAACTGACAGGAACTAAAATTTTACGGAATAATAGAGACCTGTTCTAAATCTTGAAAATTGTATCTTGAGAACATAATTGTATGTTCAGTTGTGAACAACGTCGTTCGAGACGCGTCTACTAAATTTTATGAGAATTCGATCGAATTTGTGAGGAGTTGTCGTTGTTATTGTTTTGAAAATTGTAACTTCGAGTGAAAAGCATTTTAAGTTTAAAATCTTCGAGATTTTTTACAGACTCAACTTAAATGGGACACCCTGTATTTCGTACTAATTCGTATTTTATAAAATTATTAAAATAGTGTAACCTGATCTTTTTAAGGATAATATAGAATTGTAAAAGATCACAGTTTGCGCATGACAATTTAGTGATTAAAAGTAAAGTTAATATACAAATTTAGTATTCTATCGTTTATTTATACCCCATTTCCAATAATAACATTTAAAGGTATGTTTCACGTGTTAGTTTGAGTAGCAGAAGAATAAGTGGCATGAATTTATGGGACGACCTAATGCAAGGTTTTAAAAATGGTATATTTAGACAAATGAAATAATTTTTACAGAGATTCGTAGAAACGTATACTTTTTATTTTGTACAGAACTGGTTGAGCATTGAGTCAAGACTAATGGGCCTCATACACGATACAATCTGTCGTACGACAGGTCGTACGACGTGTC